CATCAAAGCCAGCAAGAGAGTATGTGGCCATTGTCTGATGTGCTTCTCACAACAGCCCTGTCATTATTAGGAGCCACTGTCATTACGTTACCAGATGCGGAAACAGTCACCTAGGTGACAAGTGACAGAGCTGAGATCGGAACTCAAGTCTATTTGTCTCAGAAAGGCCTTCCAGGCCCTCTCCCCAGGGTTGTCAGCTGGAAGCCTGACTCTCCACTAACTGCCCTTGGGGGCCTTTGGGGTCATCTGACTCAATCCCCTGATTTCACAGAGGCCCGGGGAGAGGAGAGAACTTCTCCAGCCTCCTACGCGAGTAAACAACAGAGCTGGAAGTCGAACTGAGCTGTGCAGCATCTTCAGCTAATTCCTTGGACTGGGCATTGTGATTCCCAGGGGCCCCCAGTCTGACTCCTAAGGACTAAGGCAATCCCTGGCCCTGACACACAGTGGGTGCTTTACCTCTGAGGCATTTCAGATGGGGAGCAGTAGGATCCTGAGGTAGTCTGAGAGGTCTTGTCTTCTGCTTGAGAGCAAGGCCCTGGTGATGGTGGCTGAGGATCAGGACAGGTGAGCTAACTCTGCGGTCAGCAACACGTGCTCTTTTGGAGGGTTCGGCTCTGCCTTCGCCTGGCTGGGGACCGTGTTTCTGCACATCTGCATTAATGACAGACAGACAAGGATCATGAGGAGGATAGTCCAGTGTTGTTGGCAGCTGCCTTCCTCCCTCAGTCCGGGACCTTAGGGAGTGGCAGGCTACCCGGGAGGAACTGTAACGGGGGAGGGGTGCGGCAGGGTTGGGGAGGAGAGGGGTCTCCAGGAACCACCAGGAAATGGAGCTCAGCTTTCCTGCCCCAGCCTGGGGGTCCTGAGGAGCAGGGGAGGGCGCGGCCTCTCACGGCTGGACCGCAGCGCGCCATCAGCCCTCCTCCCCGCTCCAGCTGGCTCTGACCTGCCCCATCTCTGCAGATTCTCACTCAGGTCTCCACGGCCACCCTCAGCACAGCGCCTGGCCCCAGCAGCGCGGCCCCCTCGCTCTCTGTGGCCCTGCCGCCCGCCAAGCTTAAACTGGGGATGCCGGCATGAAAACGACAGCGCCCCTGCCTGGTAGGGTGACTCTCAGAAGTAAAAGAAAAATTGGTGTAAAAGCAGAAGAAACGAGTGAACCAGGGCTGGAGCGTTGGCTGCCCGCTTTGTCCCACCATGCGAAGCCTACGCAGGGGGTGTGGCTGTGAGGCTGGTCCCCGCGCCCGTGGACCCAGCGAGAGGAGGGCTGGAGGGGATGGCGGGTGGCGCTGTCCCTCGCAGGTGCCTGTGCGAAGCCACCACAGCTTCTCGGCCGCTGTCCCTATAGAGGTTTGGTATCAAGGGGCCCTGGGCAGGAAGCACTGGTTCTCGTCCTGGTCCCCTGGACCTTCCGCTTGATGCAGCTTCTCCTGGGTCGGGTTCCTCCACCCTTTGCACCCTGGCCTGGGCGGAAGATGGCCGAGGAGACCCTGTCCGGTTCAAGGCCATGTCTGAGCCCCTCCACCCTGACTGGCCTCGTTTGCAAAGACAGCCAGGACCCCGCAGGTAGAAGGGCAGCCATTGGCTGTCCCCCAAGACTCCCACCACAAACCCCGGCTTGCCCCTCCAGGTCCTGGGAGGGCGCAGAGGAAGGAGGGGGAGGAGGAGGGAGGAAGAGTGGAGGGAAGGACAGGAGGAGAAGGGGGAGGGACAGGGAAGGGGGGACGGCGAGAGAGAAGCGGGGCGAGGGAAACAGTTGAGGCCACAGAGCAGGACACATAAAGAAGGAAGGGAGCGACTGGCGAGGAGACAGAGCGACCGAGCGAGTGAGCGGAAGCCGAGGGCGAGGCGGGGAAGGGAACGCCGTCCGGCCACACGCCCCTGGCCTCCGTCCCTGACTCTGTCTGAAATCAAGTTCATATTTCAAGAGTAAATGGAAATATGCAAGAAACCAAAGAGTGCCTCCCCTTCTCAGGTGAAGGAACCTCCTCGATGTTTTTAGCTTTATAAATTTTTGATTGTTCTCAGATCTCAAAAAGTAAATTCTTGAGGTTGCTGGTGCTTTTCATTCCTTGGTGGGTGAGGGAACGCGAGGCTCCGCCGTGCACTTGCTGCCCCCTGCTGGTCACAGCCGGGTTCTGCATGCTCGCTGCTGATGGGAACCAGGCAGAAACTGCGTTTGGGTGAAAGGTTGAGGCTGAATTATTCCCTCTCCTTGATCTAAAATCACGGACTATTAGAGCCGAAAGGGATAGAGGTCTCCAGCCCCAACCTCTCCCTTAAGCTAAGATGGAGTCATATAAAGTAGCGTAACCACAGGTATGTTCTACCCCATCGCTTTGCTGCATTACGAACCTAATCAAGGGAGTGTCATTTCGACACCTTTGCTTTATTCTATTGTTAGAAGCAAGTCGAAGTTCTCCCTGCACTCAAGGATGGGGATTAAACAGGGCCTCACTCATTGGAGGTCACCTGAGGGCATACCCACCACACACACCCCTCGTAGACTCTTACCACGCGTTACATACATTCCAGGTGCGGAGTGTACTAGAGCGTCAGAGTCTGGCTCCAGTTGTCACTGACGTAGTTCAGCTGTGGGACTCTGAGCTGTCCTTCCTCCCCACACATTGCCCCAGCCACAGGCTTCAGCTCCATGTCTGATGCCAACTGAAGACAAAGCCACTCACGCAAGGCTGTGGTTGATGGTTTGCATTGCAGGGCCTCAAAGTTAAAATTTTGGACGATCTTGTTCTTAAAAATTCTGCAGCGCGGGGCGAGGCCGTATCCTCTCCTCTTCTTTGTCATCCCCAGATCTCAAGACCAACCCCCAGCTCCGATGTTTAGTTAATTTTTTATCGCTGAGAAGGTTAGCAGTCACGTCTTCAGGATTTCAGCATCCACCTCAGCTGGGTCAATAAACTCTTTCACTAGACGAAGGCAGCCCCGCCCTGAGAGGAATTCTGGCCTCCGTGTTACGATAGTATGTTTTATTTATTCCACAATGCAAGCAAACAGATTACACGATGATAACGATTGTGGTCAGGAATAGAAATGCCTCAGGGGCTCTGTGATTCCCAAGGCAGGGATTGCCCAGGGAAATCAGCAGAGAGCAGCTGGGTCATGGAAGGATCTAGAAGCAAGATGTGACTCGCACTGCCAAGGCATTAGCAAGAGGAGGAAGAGGATTATGTGTGTGTGGGAGTGGGAGGGGAGTGGTCAGGGAAGAAGATCTTCTTCGGACAGCACAGGAGCTGAAAGAGTTTGAACAAACACCATGTATGGCCGGCTTGGGATGGGAAAGCAGCAGAAGATGAGAGTATGAGGAGGACAAGGCCAGATCACGAAAGGTCCACAGCCCTCGCTAAAGGAGAAGATCAAACAAGGTTCTGTGTCCATGAACTTCTGCAGTCTCCCTGGGCACGTGGTGTTCACAGTGCTTGGGAGGCCAACACACACAGAACATGGGGACATCCTGGACAAACCCTAACTAAGCCTCAAGGGCCCTCCCCACGCTTTGGTCACAGCCTTGTGGCTACTTCCAATCCTGTGCCCCCAGCCTGTGGTGGACACTCGGACCATAACCTGAACCACGCTCTACCATGACTTCCTCCACTGGACTGAGAGGTCCTGGAAAAGGAGGGGCAGGTTTTATTTGTGTTTGCATCACTAAGACCTGTACTATGCCCAGGACAAAAGAGACACTAGATATATTGATATTAACTCACAAGAGAATAATAGCGAACACGTAATGAAAGCTAACTATTGACCAGGCGCCCGTCCAGTCACCTGACATGGGTTGTATTACTGAATAATTGACGGGCACTTTTACCGGATCCATCTTACAGGGGAGGAGACCAAGCTGCAGAAAGACTGTGGAAATTTGCCTAAGATGACACAACATAAGAGGAGGAAGAGGCTTCTGATCTAGGTCTTATCTCCAGAGCCTGTGAATGAATAAAATAAAGTCTTGAGGGAACTAGAGTTTGGCTTTACAGAATCATCCAAGAGTGATTATGCTTGTTCTATAGTTCGCACGATCCTATGCACTGGACTAAATAATCCTCTATCCGTTATCTCCCGTGGTCCTCACAGAGGCTGTGATCGCTAGGCAGATTCGCCGTTCTCATTCCACAGACATGTCCCTCCCCTCGTAGGCACCCAGAGAACCCGATGTCGATCATCGAACCAAAGATTCTCCACCGAGAGGAGGAGAACCATTTTCCTTTGTTGCAACGGTAAAGCATGTGCACACATGCACACACACACACAGTTCACCCACCAAGAGTTTATAAAGATAATAGTCTCAAAGGATTAGGTGCAGGTTGCTCCTGCCTGAGGCAGGGGCATGGACCAGATGACCCCTCGATGACCTTGCACGGACTGGCATTCTGCAGTGCTCAGTGTGGTGGTTCCTACTCTTTCTAGAGTGAAGGACACATTGTGATTTCAAAAACAATTCTGAAGATTCCCCAACCGAAAGAGGTTGTTTCCTCAAGGAACTGCTGACTGTAAAAAAAAATCAATAATGACAAAAAAAAAAAACAAAACATACTGAGACATGGCAACAGAGGCCTCTGCTGAATTTACCACTCTTTGGAATGACATCGTTTTCTTTACACTAAGAACATGTTCATATATTTGAAAAACATAGTCCTGTATGTGCAGGACATGTTATTAATTTATTCACATTCCTGTCGATTTGCTGAAACTTGTGGTAATTTTTGGTCCTCCAGGGTTGAAACTAGAGGATCTCGTTGAATGCTAACTAGCGGATTCCACTCACTGGCTGGTCCAGCAGAAGTTAGCCTAGTGCCCACCTCTCCCTGCCTTGTTTTCTTTAGCTGGAATGTTAATCCCTACCTGCCTTACTGGTTTGTCACGAGTTACATGGGATAACAGAGGAGGTTGTAGCTTCATCCTGCACCCCCTTCCCTGTCTAGCTTTGGAGCAAGCCGGAACTCAGCGTTTCCTTAGACTCCTTCCTCCTTCTGCTCTAGGTTCCTGATCGTCCTGGGGTGCTTGATTCTGGCCGTCCTGACCACGTTCAAGGAGTATGAGACAGTTTCGGGAGACTGGCTTCTATTACTGGTAAGATCGCGGACCCGCCCTGGGCTGTGTTTCTGGGGTACAAGCCTTTGGTTGGAGTTCCGCGGGATGCTACCTTTGAGTGTGATTCTGCCCAGCTGGTTTGGGCTTCCTGGAGTCTCTGGCCAAGTCTGATGCCTGGATCAACTGGTCGGCTCTGCCATGGGCGCAGGTGGAATGGCGAATAACATTGTCATTCCAGATGAGAGATTAGGGGACCTAAACCAGGTCAGAGCACAAACCAATACACGTTAGTTAAATGATAAAATACGGCTTCCCAGCCCTCTGAAAGCTAACACGAAGGCGTGCTCCATTCTAAAACCTGCCTCTGTTTTTTCTCCATAAACCCTTACTTCGAGGATCTCTTACTTCGTTCAAGGCCAAGTGCAAAATCCCACGTCTACATAAAACTCGAAGTCCTGCTTCCCAAGGCCTCTGCCTGTTTCCTCTCCATTCTCCATCCGCTGGTCCGGCAGAGAGTGGACCTAGCTTTCTTCAGCAAGTTTCTTAGTGCCCTTGATTTTCTGTTTCCTCACATTCTCGCCTAAAATCTGTGAAAATGTGTGGTAAGGAGCAAATGCTCCAGGCAGAGACGAGGCCCCAGGAGGGGCCGGTCCCTCTGCGGCCCGGGACAGCACTGGTCACTGGCCCTTTGAGTGACCTCACCCTTGCTGCATTAGGAGTCAGCTGCCTCTTCAGGATGAGGCCTCACCCTTGATACAGTGAGGGGATGCCAGGCCCCCAGTTAGGGTTCACACGATAGCAGAATCTTTGCCTCACCCTGACACGCCATCCTTTGGTGCCAGAGTCAACAGGTTCCTTCTGAGGCCAGGTGTTGATAATCCACACCGGCTCTCAGCTGACACCTGAGCAGGTGAATCCTGGGAAGCCATCCAGTTCTAGGAACTAAGTTTCCGGGGTCGCTGTAGAGCAGCAACTCGCCTGGGGTCCCAGGGAGACCACCAAAGAGAGAGGGAGGCAAAGGTGCGGGTGTCTGACCCACGAGGGGACACGGGAGGGACGAGCAGACCCAGTGTCCCGAGGCAGCGTGGTGCTTATGATGCCATGTGGGTTCCGAGCCAGATTCCAGCCTGAGATTCTTTCTTTGCCACTTCGTAGCCTTGAGACATTTGTTTAGCCATTCCGTGCCGTGGTTTCTCAAAGCGGAAAACGAGGATAATGTTGTAACACACTCCGTCCTGGTCATGCGGGGCCCAGGAGCCATGCTCAGTAACTGCTGGCCCCAGTTAGCAATACCCAGGGCTGGGCGCTGGGTGGGCCTGGTGGCTGATTCCACTGATATCTGCTACCTCTCTTTTCAACCCAACTGCATTTCTTAGGTGCTTTTAGGACATAAAAGGGATTTTTTAAAAAATTATCCATTAATATAAGGAAAAAAGCAGTAGTCATTTTGCAAGGCTTGCCGTTAGGGACACTTAGCACATGAAGGCGGCGCCGGGAACTGGCCGGCCCGAGCGGAGGGATCCACCTGT